ATGGGTGAAGCATCTCTGTCGGTGCCCTGTAAAAGGTGTTACCCAGCCTAACCCAGGCCCTGGTCCTGGCGTACAACGCACTGTGCATGGAGGAGACACTAGCTGTTCCGGGACTTGGAAGCTCCTTCCACCTGAGCAGAGCCTGGTGGGCTCCAGCAGACGAGCTCCCGCAGGCTCTTTCCCAGCAGAGCCCTGCCTACCTTCCCGCGGGTGCTGCCATGCTCCCTGCAGGATAGAGCAGCCCTCGAAGACCCGAGCAAACCCCAGCACTGCATACAGTCAGAAAAAAACCAAATCCCGTCATGCAAACCTGGTGGAGGATGTGGAAAGCCCTGCCGTGGACAACCTCCCTATGACTCTTTTCTTTCTAACCCAGCAATCACTCCATGGACATCAGGGAGGCTATCCCCGCTCTGAGCAACCCCTCACAAGTGGGAAGGGGAAATGAATGTTTAGATTCTTCCAGAGAGAAAAATTATCAGCAGAGATGGATATGTCTGAACTGATGTGGACATACTGTTCTTGCTACTGCTAACCAGGGAATAAACAGGGTCACTGCAGTCTCCTCCGACAGCTGTGTCTGGGGCACCAGAAATCCTAGGGCCAGGATTTGACTGCAGGCTACCAGACTTGTTTATACCAGTTGTCAGGATAAAACCAAATTTAAACTGAGGAAAGTTAGAGGAAAGATCCTGTGGGTGGGCAGGAGGCTCCTCTCCCCAGGAGGCTGCTGGCCAGGAGGTGGCCACCAGCCCCAGCCAAGGGCTGCCCCGGGACGCAGGGTGGTCTCTGGGGGTAACCCTTGCTGCATCGCCCGCTGCTGTTTCTCTACTCGGTCCCTCAACACCTTCAGCAGCTGCACAACTCACTTGGGTTTGCCAGATGCAATGCCTCTCATCGCTGCTTCTTCTGGGCTTTGTCCCCACTTGCTCCTCCTCATTAATGAGACCAGTGTGGCTTCCAGTGCCACAAACCGGTCAGCCCTGGCTATGCCACGTTATTTTCACCCATGAGACTCATTTCTGTCTTGGAGTAGAGATGTGACTGGGGTGCAATTCCCAGGACTAATCCTTCTGGGTTTTTTTCCCCTCCATGATAAAAGGAGATCAACTGATTTTATTTTCCGATGGAGGATGCATCAGTGTCCAGGATCTGGTTTCAGCCAGCAGCTTATCTCGGGGATCCCTGTGGGCTGCCAACCACAGGACAATGGCTGGTTGTTTGGTGCCTCCACAATTCCCTCTTTGGAGGGAGCACTGCGATAACGCACCAGCCCCTGCCCGGCAGTGACTGCCACATACCGGCAGCTCCAGGCTGAAGCTCACCGAAGGGTTCCCAGCCTCCACGAGTGCCCTGGGGAGCTCAGGGACTTCACAGGACATCACAATCTGATGGTGAGAGATCTTCCCTCTGCAGCCTGAGTTGTTGTGGAGACAGGTTGTAATTTTTTTTCTGATGCCAGCATTTACCTTAAATAGCTTTTCCTCCTCTCTCAGGTGTTTGCAGAGGGCAGTGATAGCTCCTCTTGGCTTTGCTTCGGGTACACTACAAACTTCAAGTCTCTCCTTACAACAGTCTCCATTTCCTTGGTCAACTGGTTCGCCCAGTATTGGTTCTGTGTGGGGCACTTTGCTTTTGTAACTAAAAACAGTGTTTGTGTAGTGCTAGAGCACTGACTGGATCCGCGCAGGCATAGAGATATGCTGTGCAGTATCACCTTCCTTGCTTGGTTTTCTCACGAGCATGGACTCGTAATCCTGTAACGCGATCGTTATTATTGGCAAATGGGCCCCTGTGCAGTCTTTCAGGTGAGGCGCTGACAACCAGAGCCACTAACCCTGAAGTATTTATCTTTCCAGGACAAGCAAATACATCCTTCCTCACTTCCAACGTCTTCATACACTTC